CAACATCTGCATTTTACAAACATGGAAAGTACCACCTGAATGATAATATGTTTTTCCAATTTCCCATCCTGCACTTCTCCCACTAGACTTCAAGCTCTGGTTCTCAGGGATATTTTACATCTCAGGGGACTTGTGACAATGTCTGGAGACCTTTCTGATTGTCACACGTGGGAGAGGCTACTGTCCTCTAGTTGGGAGAGGTCGGGGATGCTGCTAAACATCCTATGGTGCATAGGACAGCATGCTCCCCAGCCCACGTCAGTGTCATCCAGCCCCAAGTGTTAATAATGCCAGAGTTGAGAAACCCTGACTTGCATATTCCTTTTAATCTAATGTTTATTCAATGAAAGGATGTATAAAAATGTACACATCTGAGGGCGCCTGGGTGGCTCAGTCGTTAAGCGTCTGCCTTCGGCTCAGGTCATGATCCCAGGGTCCTGGGATCGAGCCCCGCGTCGGGCTCCCTGCTCTGCGGGAAGCCTGCTTCTCCCTCTCCTGCTTCTCTCTCTCCCACTTCCCCCTGCTTGTGTTCCCTCTCTCGCTGTGTCTCTCTCTGTCAAATAAATAAATAAAATCTTTAAAAAAAAAGGTACACATCTGAGAATTCCAGTATACAAGAAATAGAATGATGGGACAGTCTGTTCCTAACATATCCACACAACTTAGCCATTTGGCGTTCTCCTACATTTCCCCTTCTTATTTCTGGCTCCTATTTTGCCCCTTGAGACTGTTCTATTATTGGCTTAAGGGAAGATTAATGGACAATTTATATTGCTTTCAGGCCAATGGGAAAACATTATGCCTTGATTTTTTTTTTCTTTAACTTAGGAAATAAATATCAAAATCAAGTTTTATCCCATACAGCAGTCAGCTTTTTTGGGTCCCATTCCTTTGCCATTTTGATCAATTGAATGGATGTTTTCCATAAACTTAGCATTACCTTTGAATGTCGTTAAAGTTATGGCTCACGGCTTCTCCTGTATCCCTTCTTCTGCTGCATTTGTATTGATTTAAAACAACCCACTTGGTGCTGAAGTGAAGTGAATTTACCAGTGGAAAGTGCTAGAATGGTACTATTTGAAAAGTCAATTTGTGGACAAGTTGAATCTGATGTTTAAAAAGACAACTAATTTGTCAGAAACAAAAAATGCAGCTTTTTATTTTATTTTATTGGTTCAATTTTTCAATTTGAGGTAAGGCAGATGCATTTTTTCACTTGCTTACATCAAGTACTCACACACTTTCTCTTATAAACACATATTTACGGCTTGTCTAGTTGCTACCACATTGTTACATTATCTTTCCCTCTTTTGTGCTTTGCTAAAGTAGATGCTAATAATTTTTCCTGACTGGACACAACTACCAAGATGCTTTCTAAAATAAGACATCTTGAGGATAAATAGTAAGAACATTCTTGGGTTTAAAGTTTCCATGCAGGGCACCTGGGTGGCTCAGTCAGTTGAGCATCTGCCTTCGGCTCAGATCATGATCCTGGGACCCCGGGATCGAGCCCCGCGTCGGGCTCCCTGCTCAGCGGGGAGCCTGCTTCTCCCTCTCCCTCTGCTGCTTCCCCCGCTTGTGCTCTCTCTCTCTCCATCAAATAGTAAATAAACAAATAAATAAAATCTTAAAAAAAAATAAAGTTTCCACGCACCTTTCAAATTTTATACAGTACTGAGCCCAGCTTCTCCCTGAGAAGCTTGCTGTATTATTGACATTTTTTCTGAGAAGACTTACATCCCAGAAGATCAGGCCATAATTTTTGCTTCTCAAATTATATTGTAGTTGTTTTATTTTGAAATATAGCCTTCATTAGTATGCTTTTAAGTAATCTAAACTTTCTTAAAATCTTTTTGAGTTTGTAAATACTACTATTATCTTTCCCACATCCTTTAAATGACAGTTAATAAATTCCAACGGAGAGTTTTTAATGCACAGAATAGGGACTGGGGATGGAGAAAAGGAAGAGATCTGTTTATACATGCCATGGAGAATTAGATTTATAGTTCTATTGGGGAGGGATAGGAAAATGGTCTTTGTAAAAATGACAGGTTTTTTTTTAAGGAAAATCATAAATACCACACTCAGGCTGATCTCCAAGGATGAGTGTTTCTGGGTTTTTGATAGAGCCGACCCTGGGTGGCCAAGCTCTATCCCCAGAGTCCCCACTGCTCAAGAGAACAGATCTTCCTTTGTCCAGGGCAGGATTTGTCAACCTTGGCACTCTTGACATTTGGGGCAGGATAACTCTTTGTTGTAGGTAATGTCCTCTGCACTGTAGGATGTTTAATAGTTTCCTGGCCCCACTAGATGCCCTTAGCAGCCCCCCCATTCCCCCCACCACCACTGTCACATTCCCAATGGCCCCTGGGCAGCAAACTCAATCCTGGTGGAGAACCACTGATCTAAGGTGAAGATGTCCAGGTCTGGCATTTGTGTGAACATTTACCAGTGTCACCGGCAGCTGAGAATGGTTTGTCACACGTTGTGTCTGGGGGCTGGTTGGTTTGTATCAGCATGTCATCCATCTGACTGCCCTCCTCCCATGTGAGGTTGGCTCTCCCCTGAGGTGTCGGGTTCTGGGCCATCTTGTGATCATTGTGATCTTTTGCTGGGGCCCTCACTGGCGATCTTTGACCTGAATGCCACGCAACAAGGAAGCTAACGGACAGCTTCGTCAATGAGCTGTAGGACTTTGGACATGGCTCTTGTCTGCTCTGGGCCTGATTCTCCCCCTGCAGAATTACTGGGTTTGGCTCAATCACCATTCCCTATGGGGTAGTCCATGAAAGCTGACCATGGAAGAGCCTTTGTGGGGAAGAAAGGTGGTGAGACCAAATTGGTTTGGGAAATGCTATATCCTGCAACATCTGCTTGGAGATTCATAATGTGCATAAGCATGTGAGAGGCTTTCTAGAATTCTCTGCACCCAGATCTCTATGTGGCTCACTCCCCACTTTTCTCCAATGTTACTTCCCAAGAGACTTTTCCAATCACCCAAACAGGCGACGCTCTAGTGCCTCATCTTTCTTCACACGGCTTCTCATTTCCTGACATTATAGCTTATGTATTTATATCTTTGTTCATTGTCTGTCCCCCTCAGCCCAGAACATAGCCTTGGTGTCAGCAGGGACTTGGTCCATTTGTTTGCAGCTGATCCCTAGCATGTGGCACATAGTAGATGCTCAGTAAAAATGTTTCACTTGTGGATTTCCAAATGAATTTAATCAGGGACTTTTCCACTTCCACTCATCAAAGTCTAGGGAAGCAAGCTTGGGAATCAACAAGGGAGAGGGTCTCTAAGTCCTGATAGCCATGGCCTCCTGACATTCACTTTCTTAGTATGAGCCACTCAGTTCTAAAGGTACCGAAGAGCTGGTATCAGGCCAGAGAGCAAACAAAATGGACTGATTTGCCCGCTCTCCATGATGGGAGTTGCTGTCTTGGGAACTGAGGAAGAGAGAAACCTTTTGCCTCAATGATCTGCTCGTGGCTCCCCTTCGTCAGGACTCTAACCAGTCTGAGAAAAGTGAGAGTAAAAATCGGGGATAGGTGGAAAGGGTACGTGCACCCTGATGTTTATAGCAGCAATGTCCACAATAGCCAAACTGTGGAAAGAGCCAAGATGTCCATTGACAAATGAATGGATAAAGAAGATGTGGTATATATATATATATATATATATATATATATATATATATATATACACACACACACACACACAATGGAATATTATGCAGCCATCAAAAGGAATGAGATCTTGCCATTTGCAACGATGTGGATGGAACTGGAGGATGTTATGCTGAGCGAAATAAGTCAATCAGAGAAAGACATGTATCATATGACCTCACTGATATGAGGAATTCTTAATCTCAGGAAACAAACTGAGGGTTGCTGGAGTGGTGGGGGGTGGGAGGGATGGGGTGGCTGGGTGATAGACATTGGGGAGGGTATGTGCTATGGTGAGCGCTGTGAATTGTGCAAGGCTGTTGAATCTCAGATCTGTACCTCTGAAACAAATAATGCAATATATGTTAAGAAAAAAAAAGAAGAAGAAGAAGATAGCAGGAGGGGAAGAATGAAGGGGGGGAAATCGGAGGGGTAGATGAACCATGAGAGACGATGGACTCTGAAAAACAAACTGAGGGTTCTAGAGGGGAGGGGGGTGGGAGGATGGGTTAGCCTGGTGGTGGGTATTGAGGAGGGCACATTCTGCATGGAGCACAGGGTGTTATGCACAAACAATGAATCATGGAACACTACATCTAAAGCTAATGATGTAATGTATGGGGATAATATAAGAATAAAAAAATTTAAAAAAAAAGATTATATATATATTATTAAAAAAAAAATCGGGGATAGGTGGAGTGCCCACTGTGTGCTCAGCACTGTTTATGATGCAAAGGCAGTGCCTCCCTTCAAGGACTTTGGCTAAATTTAGGGTCAGAACTCAAAAGGGGGATTTACTGGGAGGACACAGCATCTCTTACAGAACCCAAAGGCTGGGCTGGGCTTCCCAAGGGACAAGGACCAAGGACCAGAAAGCCATCCGGAGACAGCTATTTCCGAGGTCTCATTGTTCATGTCTGCCTCTTTCTGCCTCTTCCCCTGCTTTGCTCACCTGTGGCCCATCACGATGGCGCCCAAACTGCCCCCTAATCCCTGAGACCCCATCATCCAATGGCCTCTCCATCCATCACAGGACCAATTCCTGAGGGAGCAGGGCTTAGCCCAGCTCAGCTTCTGATTGGTTCTCCTGGGTCAGGTGGACACACACCTCAGGTCCAATTAGCTGTGACCTGAGAGAGTAGCACTCACGTGACACCAATATAGTGGCTGAGATTCCTCCTTTTTGGGTGGAGTGGGAGCACTAGGTGGGATTTTTCTCTGCTCTTGGCCCTGGGGCTATTTAGGCTCAAGAAGCCTGGGTGGCTTTTTGAATTTTCTCCCATATTTCTGTCCTTTCATGTTTACTTTAAGAACAGAAACATGATGGAGAGGAAAGGGCTAGAGGCTTTATTCTGGCTTTTACCCTCTGCCCCCCACCTTTTTTTTTTTTTTTTTTTTTTTTTTTGAGTCAAAAGATGGAGGGCCCTGATAGATCTGGACCAAGGGGCAAACAGGATGAGTGTGCCTTGGGGAATTTTGAGGTGAAGGTGGTCCCCTGCTTTGACAGGTGGTTTTATCTTAATACTGCAGATGGATTTTTTCTTTTTTCTTTTGCTTCTCTAGGCACTGTTCAGGTCTCCAGGCCACATTTCCAGCTAACATTCTCTCTGCCTTCCTATAGACAAAGGTGAACCATGCTCTATATGCTACATGTTCTAGGCAACAAATTCCCACAGACTTAGTAGCCTAAAATAATAGAAAGGTATTTTCTCATGGTTCTGGAGGCCAGAAGTCCAAAACCAGCATCAGCTGGGCCACAGTCAAGGTTGCAGCTCCTGTGGATGCTTAGGGGGGAATCCCCTTGCCTCCTCCAGCTCCAGGGCTGCCGGCAGTCCCTGGCTTGCAGACACACCAGGCCAGTCTCTGCAGCCGTGGTCACCATGGTTCCTCCCCTTCTATGCGTGTGGTGTCCCCCAGCTCTCATTTGCAAGTGCACTTGTGGATGGCATCTAGAGTTCACCTGGTGATTCCCGGATAACCTCATCTCAAAACCCTTAATTTAATCATGCCTGCAAAACCTTTACCTTGTCAGGTAACTTCCGCAGGTCCTAGGACTTAGGTCCTGAGATCTTTCAGGGTTACCATCCAGCCCACTACAAGCCCCAAAACTTTCTCCCCCCAGGAGGGTCTAGGCTGGGCAGACGCCCCACAGGATGATCCACCAGAGCCCAGACTGAGGGCCCTTTCTTTTTTTTTTTTTTTTTTGAGGGCCCTTTCTATCATTTGGAATCTTGCTATTCTCCTTTTCTTTTTTAAAGATTTATTTATTTTAGAAAGGGGGCGGTGGAGGGACAGAAGGAGAGAGAGAATCTCCAGCCGACTCCCTGCTGAGCGTGGAGCCCAATGTAGGGCTCTACTCCGGGCTCATTCTCACGACCCTGAGACCATGACCTGAGCCGAAGTCAAGAGTCAGAGGCTTAATCAACTGAGCCATCCAGGTGCCCTGCTCATCTTTTCTTTTTCCTCCTGTTTGTCTTCCCATCAGGAGGAAGCATAAAGACTAACTTCCCCCAGATACATGGAGAGCCACAGGTCTCTGGTGTCTTAAGCCACGAAGCAGGTCCTTGCAGCTCCCTTTTAATAGATTGATTTGCATAAGGAAAGTGAAAGGTTGGAATTTAGACCGTACTGCCCATCCTGAGATCAGGAGTGATTCATTCCCTACCTGCTGCCTCTTCTCTACTTAGAAGTTTTTAGGAAACATCCAGGGCCTCAGAATTTACTCTTCTCCTAGCCATGCAGACTCCACTTCATGCTTCCCAGTACCAGGAAGGCACCCCTGGACTCAGGTGTGTCTTCCCAGACTCCCACTCCACGGTCAAGACCCTGACCCCAGTCGTTCCTCTTCTGGCTTAGTCTCAGCAGTCAGCAATCCCCTGGGCATCCTCATTAGTTGAACTGCTTTCCTGGGTTCCACAGGCAGGCACTTTGCCCCCTGCATGAGGACACACTCACCCGGCCTTTCTGAGCATACAGCCCCTCGGCTCCCGCTGGGCCGGGTCTCAGGAGGGGGATGCTGGGGGGACGTTTAGGTCGGTAGGAGCTGCTGTCTAGACAGCCACCATGTTCTGTTGGGTATGTGGGTCGAAGGGGCAGCAGTAATAGCTTCCCCTTCCTGGGAAGCACAGATCCTCATTCGAAGTTTGAAAAAGCTCTTTACGCTGAATGGCACAGTAGAGCATTTAAAGAACTCAGGCCCTGGAGCCAGACGGCTGGGGTTCAGACTCTAGCGCGGCTACTTCCTAGCGATGTGACGTGAGGCACTTGAACCTGAGCCTCTGTGAGCTAGCCTGCAAAATGGCAGTGATACCAGGATGCAGATGAAATGCCGTAACACGGGTGAAGTGTTTTGTGCAGATTAGCAGCAACTATTATTATCAGTGATATTTCTCCCTAAGCAAGTCAGTGTTGGAAGAGCTGCGACAGTAATTCAGCGCCCAAATGTACTACATATAAAATATTTTATTATAAAAAGCTCACTTGCACGGCACTTTAGAAGGAATAAAATATCTCACACAGCTTTCCTTTGTTGCCCTTACCCAGAAGGCACTAGGAAAGCGTACCAGTAAAGACTCTGATCTTATGCATCACCGGGCCTTGTGCCCTCCGAGAGCCAACAGCTTCAGGGGCTCTGAGAGAGCCCCAGCTGGGCCTCACCCCCACATCATCGATCAGCCTCTTGTTTCACTTCATTCCCGAAACGGCCCCGCGTCCTTTCTAGAAAGCCGAGTCATATCTCCTACCCACAGCTCAGGACTCCGGTGAAGAAAGCAAAGGCATATCTTGTTTTCTTTTTGAAACAAAACAGTCCTAGTGGAAGCAAAACAAAAATCACAACCTAAACCAGCTGCTAGGCATCCTCTCCTGTTTGGAAAGAGAGGTGTTGTGGCCAACAACCCAGAGTTGGGGAAAAACGATGGGGAAGGTGCGTACCCCGCGAGGACCCCGACGGGGTCCACATCCCGAGATCCGAGGCAGCACCTATTCCCGACGCACCTGCCACGTGAGGTTCTGTGGATGTCAGTCAGTCCCTAGTCACTGGACTCCCCACGCCCCCCTCCCTCACCCCCATCCACATCAATCTGTATGCATCTGCCCCCTCCGCTCCTCAATTGCAGCTGAAGTGGCTTCACGGGGGGTCCGTGGCGTGGAGGGTGAGCGACCGGAGGAACACACCTGAGCGGGGCCGTCAGTCAGGTGGCCGGGCATCAGGAGCCTTCTGCTGGACTTCATCATACTGTGGTGGGGGGGTCAAAGGCTCGATGGAGGGAGGAGGGACGTTTTTGTCCGGGAGGCTGATCCTGAAGTCTTTGAGGTGAAGCTTTTCGGATTTAATCCTTCGAACTTTGAGTGGCTTTAGGCGTTTGGCCAACTTGGAGTTCTGCCTGTCGGGTGGATTCCCCGGGCTGGTCTCCACGTTGGCCCTGGCAGCTGTGGGGCTCGTCTCGTCAAGACCCGTCAAGGACTCATAGGACGGGAGAGAGATGCTCATCCTCGGGTTCTGGTCCAGTTCCCTCGCTTCTGAGTAGTTTGTGTTCATCACTTCCTCGTAACTGGGGACATAGTACCTGGAGGAGGCGTCCTCCTCCTCCTCCTGGCTGCAAGACAACAAGCACCAACATGGAGAGTGTTAGCATGTGCTCCCGCCATATTGAAAATCACAAGTAGATGAACTCCGGATCCTGTGTCAGCACCGGGTCCACATACACCAGCCTTGTGAACAACCCGTGGGTGCCAAAAGTAATAAAAGCTAACACTTGAACCGTGTGCTAGGCGTCAGGTACTGTGCTAAGTACTTTAACACATATCAACCAGTTTCATCTTCCTAACAATGCTATGAGTTAGGTACTATTTTCATACCCATTTTATGGATGGGGAAACGGATACGTCAAGGTTATGTGACTTGGTCATGTACGTGGGAAGTGGGAGAGCAGGAACTGAATGCCACACTCAACGACTACACTGGATGATCTGGAAGTGTTAACACGAGGAAGTGTGAACCCCCCTTTGCTTTTAAGACTCATGCTTAACCACATGCCAGATGGACTGTTCTGGCGCCAAGCTGGGTCCTTTTGCCAAAGGCCACACAAACGTGCACGAAGCAGCAGCCAGTTTGAAGCAGAATGGTTGTCCCCAGGTAGAGAAGGAATGTCGACTATAAAATTTATATGTATTTCAAGGTATTCTGTAATTTTGTCTTCCAAGTTCACTATAAGGCTCAAAGGTCTTATCCTCAGGCTTAGTCTCCTTTGACTGTTGAAAGAGAAAACCAGAAAGTCAGGTGTCTTTTTTTTCTTTCTTTTTTTTTTTTTTACACATGTTGAGGGAATAGTGCCATAAGCCATAGTCCAGGACTCTGCACTTGAACCTGTAGGGTGATAGTGGTCAACATCAGCCCCTCCCTGTTTGTCCAGGCCTACCTCTCATTTCCCTTAGCATGTGTGTGCTCCTGGCTAGGGTGGGGAATTAGGGGAGACTGATTCTCCTTCTTTGTTCTTTTCTGTATTTCCTGAGTTTTCGAGAATATGTGTGCATGATCTTTTATTATCAGAAAATAGGTTTCGTTTTTCCAAGCCAAAAACAACTCCCTTCCCACTAGAAGGATGACAAAGTTGCAGAAAATCTAAACACAGGAAAACCTAAGGCAGAAAAGAAAACCGTCCCATCTCCTTCCACCTGGAGACAACCACTGTTAATACTCTGTTGTACACCTTTCCAGACCCCCCTCTAATCCCACAGCTGCAACATTTGATGCGATTAGGACCTCACCACAGATGCCGTGTTGTAACCTCCCTTTCTCACCACGGTGCATATGGTCCCGCACTAGCAACTACAGCTCAGCAATGGCTGTGCAGAATGCCACCGAGTGGGCGTGCCATGATTTAGCTTGAATGGTGGATATTTAGGTTGTTTCTCAATTTTTTGCTGTTCTAAGCAACGCTCTGATAAACCTAAGGGCACAGACTCCTTTGCACTTGCGTGATTTTTTCTCCCAAGGGTGAACTCGTAGGAACAGAATGGATAGGAACACGCATCTTCAATATCTCCTCTCACTGTGAAAACTCCTCTTCAGAAAGGTTGTGTCAGTCAATACCCCCATCAGTGACCCATTTCCCCACAGCTCTCCAACACCGAGGGCTGCCCGGCTTGGCCATTAAGATAGGCAAAGAATAACGACACCTTCTTTTTGTTTGCATTTCGTGACGAATGAGGTTGGACATCTATTGTCTGAACATCTATGAGATGCTTGCTTGTATCCTTTGTCCCTTTTCCTACTGATATGCTCCCCTGTCATACTCATTTGCAAGGGCTCTTTTTCTAGTAGGGATGTCAACCTTCATCATGTGTTCCCCGATTTATTGCTTATCTCTTAAATGTGTTTGTGGCATTTTTGTCCAAATAGAACACTGGTTCCCAACCTTTTCAACGCAAAGCACGTACACACAGCCCGTCTGGAGGCTCTGGCTGCCCTGGGCCCCATGCAGCTTTCCTGCTGGTGTCAAAATCTTGATACACCTGTAATCTATTCATACCGCATGATTTGGGAAACTCTGGGATAGAAGTATAAAGTTATTTGGAAAATTATAAACTGCTTTACAAAGCCTTAGTGGGGGAAAGTGGGAAGGCAGAGCCTCCTAGACTAAAGCAGTCTCGTCAGTGAACGTTGTGGGTGTGAGTGTGTGTGTGTGTGTGTGTGTGTGTGTCCATCCCCCAGTCCGAGGGCGGTCAGCCCGTCCTCACCTGTCTTCCTCCCGGCCGTGTGGCTCGACCCCTGGCTGGTGCTGGATGTGGGCCATCTCCTCGCCTTGATGCTGCTTCCTCTTGTCCCGGATGCTCAGGCAGATGGAGAGCAGAAGCAGCATCACCCCAGCCCCGACCAGCACGTAGGCCACGGAGAAGGTCTTGCTCTTGAGAATGCCACTGCCTATCTCTGTCTTGTTGTTCCCCTGAGCTGTCGGCTTTTCGTGGGCACTGAACCCGGGCACCAGGTTCCACATGGCCATGATGACCCCGAGAACCAGCATCCCCAGGCCGATGGCGGTCAGCGCATAGTGGGAGCCGTTGGCCTTCGACTGGGCCATCATGCCAGTGGGAGCGGGCCGAGGGCCGGTGCAAAGCAAGAAAGTAAATAAATGAGCGCACCAGCAGCCGCAGCAAGAACAACAGAAACCCCTTCAACGCACGGAACGAAATCCCTAGTGCCGCCCTAAAGAAGCAGCGGCTGCGCTCTCGAGGGACGGCTTCCAGCAAATTCGAGGCATCCTGCGTGGACAGCTGCGGCCGAGAGGTCTGGAAGGAAAGCAGAAAGAAGAGAGAGGAGGCTCAGTTCGGATTCCGGACGCGTTTGTGGACGCAGCGGCGCACTCTTGAAGGAGTCCCAGAGCGGGACCGAGCCGCGCGCTGGCCGGGCCTGGCCGCTGATGCATTCCAGATGGCTTACGTGCCTGCAGAAGGAGGGCTGATCCGCCTACCCCACCCGAAAAGGAAAAGCCAGACCTTTCCATGCAGGAGACCAGAGAGGTCAGCACTCTGGGGCCTGAAAACATTTTGTGGAATTTAATGAAGTGCAGTGAAATCTCGGCGGGCACGGGGTCCAGCGAGGAGCGTGAACGATGGTGTGCGTGAGCCGTGGTCAGTAGCTGTACCCAAATCGCCTGGGCGACGGGCATCCATCGGGGGTGTGTCCCAGTCCACACGGCCTGTGGGCTGCTCCTCACCCTCCATGGCTCCCCATTTCCTGCAGCAGAAAATCTGGGCTCCTGGAGTCACGCGTGTGACCGCCTCTCCCCCCTCATCTCTCACCTCGCCCTTCTCTGCACACCCCCCTCCAGCGTTTCTGCAGTTCTCTGGTCCCCCCTCCTCAGCTGCCCCTTCTGTGGACTCCCACAGGCCACCAGTGACTACTGTGGCCAGTCTCTCTCTTCCCATGACACATCTCTGTGCCCAGAACACAGCAGGGACTCCAAACATGTCTGCTCAATCACTGAATGAAATGAATGGAAGCCACCTGAAGTCTACCTGCAAGACTCGCCTCCCTTCAGCCCCACGGAGTTTCGCTTTTCTTAAAGGGGCAGAAGCCAGCCTATTCACCATCTTAGCTGCTGTGCCCAGCTGGGCGAGAAACCCTCTTCCCACGAAGCAGCTCAGAGACCTTGTGCTCAAGGAAACAAGCCCACCGTCCTGGGATTCCACAACCATTTGTAAGCTGGGAGAGTGAGCCAGATAAGCAAGTCACCTGAAGGTTTAGCTCAGAACCCTTTCAGGGGCCAGGAGGACCAGTGAGCAGCACCCTTCCTGGCTAACTGCTCCTCAGTACATTATTCCCAGGCCAGCGACCTTTGCAGAACAGTAAAGCCTGACAGATGTTTGGATGGGCAAGGTCCTATTTTCAACTCTGCATTCTTTCCGATCTTTCCAGAAGGACGGCCAACCAGGCCACTTGAAATCTAATGCTGCAGAGATATTTTCTCATCAAACAACGGGCTCAATCTGAAAGTGGCCACTTTGTTAAAAAAATACTCTAAAAATATTTGGGATAATATCCTTTATCGGCTTGAGGTCTGTTCCTTCTTTTTTTTTTTTTTCACTCCACAAATATTTCTTGTGCATCTGCTAAGCAGTGTTAGGCACTGGAGGGACACTGGTGAGCAAGTTAAGGGTTAGTGGGGCTCTGGGCCAGCAGAAAAGTCTACAAGGAGTAACGACAAAGTGGGAAGAAAGTCTAGAAACTGTGGAATTTGGTAGGTGGGTGTCCTAACTCAGGCTGAAGGGCGTATGGAAAGTCTCTGTGAGAGACAAGTCCCACTTCAGATAAGAGGGTCTGCACCCGGATGGTGCAGTGCTAAATGCACACGTGCACACCCACATATACATGCATACTGATGTGTGAACATGTATGTGTAGGCATGCAGGGCACTGAACAGGGATCCCATCCCACTGCAGACAGTTGCTGTGGATCAGCTACCTAACACACGAGGGTATTTGTTTCCCAAATATCACTCATAGCCAGCAAGGGAAAGGATGAGGGCTTTAGCAGTTCTGCCAAATGGCCAGAGGAGGAGGAGGAGGGCACAGTGGTGCGGAGGTGCAGCCGGAAGCTGGTGTGGGAAGCAGGAGATGAAAAAGCCCATGACTGAGCACCTGCTAGGGGTCCAGCAGGTAGGCCTTGTCCTTGGGAGGTGGAGAGTGTGTTTTCTAAACCAGTGACTGGGGCTACTTTAACCTCCTACCCTCCCTGCTCTCTCGACTCAAGCTTTGCCTTACCTGTCACATGAGTAAAACAAGCCCCAGATGAGAGTCACCAAAAGAGATGAAAATGTCGGGATTCACACATTTGGGCCTGTTAAATGGTCAGTGATGGAAAACAGGCAATAATACCCAATGTGGGTAATGGTGTTGGGATAAGCGATTTTATACAATTTTTCCGGACGGCAAATTTTGGCACTGATGGATCAAAAGTTTCAAAAATGCTTATACCCTTTGGCTCTGTAATTCCAACTTCTAAGAATTATGTACAAGGCAAGGATATTCATTGTAGCTTTGTAGCAGTGAGAAACTAGAAACTGTCTCAATAGCCAATAATCTGCATCTGGTTAAATAAAACATGGTACACGTGCTGGTTAAATTATGGTTTTAAGCCAGCTAACGATACATTTTAAAGTCAAAGTTAAAAAAAAAAAAGTATGTTCAGTGTGATTCTAATTTTTAAGAAGTTCTATATACACATCTGTATACATAAATATATAGGAAGGAAGACTGGATGATCCTCCTTACGTTAAAATAAACAAGAGACAGAAGATTTTCATATATACAAACATATATGTAAAAATCTCAGGCAAGACACATTCCAAACTTAGCAATGATTGCTTCAGAGAATAGAGAGGGCTTGGGAAGTATACCTGTTACTCTGTTTCTGTATTTTGGATTTGTTACAATCAGAAGGTGTTGTTGCAAGGCAAAGCAGTTATGAACTTTGGAACCAGGCTGCCTGGGCTCAGATCCTCACTCCCAACTTTCCCAGCTGTGTGGCTTTGGCAAATTACTTAACCTCTCTGTGGCTCAGCTTCCACAACTGTAAAAGGAGACCAAGTCTTTCTGGTATTCACCTCATAGGAGAGTTATGATAAGTGAACAAGAAAACATACATAAAGCACCTAGATTTATATGTGACCAGCACATAGCAAGTTCTTCTAGAAAGGTTTGTTATTTAATTTTATTTAAAGCTTGCATTCCCAGTGGGGTGAGACCACCCACGGTGGGCGGGGGCAAAAATTCGTTCTTGGGGATGGTGTAATATAGTCTTAGATATTACAATGGTTTGTGGCCCTCCACCATACATTAACAGACACACAGGATATCTGCAGTATTAAAATTTCATGGGATGGGGGTAAAATGGGGGCATTACAAAAACAATGTCTAAAAAGACTTTAGGGAACAATACTGGGAAAAAAGGCTGAGAAACACTTATGTTTTTCTTTTTTTAAAGATTTTATTTATTTATTTGACAGAGAGAGACACAGCGAGAGAGGGAACACAAGCAGGGGGAGCGGGAGAGGGAGAAGCAGGCCTCCCACTGAGCGGGGAGCCTGATGTGGGGCTCGATCCCAGGACCCTGGGATCATGACCTGAGCCGAAGGCAGACGCTTAACTGACTGAGCCACCCAGGCGCCCCGAAACACTTATGTTTTATATTAAATTTCAAAACACTCAGATTATGCATTCCATGGTCTTTTTAGTTGTTTTCTGCACGGTGGGATTAGAGTGATTTTTATTTTCTTTTTCTTACTGGGAGAGTAACAATCGGAAACACACAAATGTGTATGTGTTGGTTTTAGAATAAAAAAATGAAATAAAGGTTTTTGTGTTTTGGGTTCGTGGCAGGGTTATGTGTCCTGGGGGTCGCTTAAAATTGTCCGTCGATTCTGCCCTCCCTCTGGGGACCAGGACCCTGGTGGGTTCACCAGGGGTGTGGAACCCAGCTCCTGAGCTGCAGCTGCTGGCTGTTTATCTTGTTTCTGGCTTGTTGACCCATGTTATATTTAGTAAGGTGTTCTTTCCCTTTCAAAAATATGGAAAGAAGCTAATTTTGTGCTTAGAGGATTTGGACCACATAGTTTCCAACACATCCCTAAAACAGAGCAGCCTTGGCGGGCAGACCCGGGTCCCAGCTCCGCCAGACTCACCTCTGGCTGGACTCTGGCTCATGTTCGGGGAGGCCCTAAAGGATAAGTGAGTGATCCTATACCTGGGTTTTCAAGAAGAGTGGTTAATCTGTTAAGAGAGGCACCTACCTGTTGTTTCGTGGGGGCGCTCAGGGCAGGCCTGAAAACAACTCTTCATGCTAAACTTTTGAGTTAAGGACCCACCTGTAAAAAACCAGAAACACAGCTTTCTAATCAAGCTGTGAGCATTTCAATTTGAGACGCTTATGAGGGAGGAATGTGTTTTTGTTTTTTCTTGGCGGGGTGGGGGCATAGGTCGGGCTGGAGGCACAAGCGAGAAAAGTTGTACCAAAAAGTGGGACCGCAGAAGGATGACAGTCTGGTAGCTGCGTTTACCAGACCCTTCTGCGGTTTTATCTGTCTTCCACAAGTGCCCCGGAGGCTAAAAGAAGAGGAAACATTCCCCCAAGTCATTTTATGAGCAGTGTATAACCTTGATACCAAAACCAAACAAGGACAAGGCAAGAAAGGAAAATGACAGGCCAATCTGATCTGTCTGCACACAAACAAAAATCCTAAACAAAATACCAGCAAATGGAATTCCACAATGTGAGAAAGGAATCCATCAACATCCTAGAGGAGAACGCAGACGGCAACCTCTGTGACCTCTGTGACAAGCAACTTCTTGCTAGACACGTCTCCAAAGGCCAGGGAAACAAAAGCAAAAATGATCTATTGGGACTTCATCAAGATAAAAGGCTTTTGCACAACAAAGGAAACAATCAGCAAAACCAAAAGACTACCGACAGAATGGAAGAAGATATTTGTGATGCCTTATCAGATAAAGGGCTAGTATCCAAAATCTATAAAGAACTTATCAAACTCAACACCCAAAGAACAAATAATCCAGTCAAGAAATGGACAGAAGACATGAACAGACATTTCTCCAAGTAAGACATACAAATGGCCGACACATGAAAAAATGCTCCACATCACTCAGCACCAGGGAAATACAAATCAAAACCACAACGAGATACCACCTCACACGAGTCAGAATGGCTAAAATTAACAAGTCAGGAAACGACAGATGTTGGCGAGGATGCGGAGAAAGGGGAACCCTCCTACACTGTTGGTGGGAATGCAAGCTGGTGCAGCCACTCTGGAAAACAATATGGAGGTTCCTCAGAAACGTTGAAAATAGAGCTACCCTACGACCCAGCAATTGCACTACTGGGTATTTACCCCGAAGATACAAATGTAGTGATCCGAAGGGGCACCTGCACCCCAATGTTTATAGCAGCAATGTCCACAATAGCCAAACTATGGAAAGAGCCAAGATGTCCATCAACAGATGAATGGATAAAGAAGATGTGGTATATATATATACAATGGAATATTATTCAGCCGTCAAAAAAATGAAATTTTGCCATTTGCAACAACATGGATGGAACTAGAGGGTATTATGCTGAGCAAAATAAGTCTTTCAGAGAAAGACAATTATCATATGATCTCACTCATGTGGAATTTAAGAAACAAAACAGGAGCATAGGGGGAGGGAGGGAAAAATAAAATAAGACAAAATCAGAGAGGGAGACAAACCATAAGAGACTCTTAATCATAGGAAATACACTGAGGGTTGCTGGAGGGGAGCTGGGGGGGAATGGGGTAACTGGGTGATGGGCATTAAGGAGGGCATGTGACGGAATGAGCACTGGGTGTTATATGCAACTGATGAATCTCTGAACTCTACCTCTGAAACTAATAATACACTATATGTTAATTAATTAAATTTAAATAAATTAATTAGTTTTAAAAAGATAAATACATAATACATCACAATCAAGTTGGGTTTATCCCAAGTATGTAGGATTGGTTCAACATTAGAAAATCAAATAAGGCCATGCACCAGGAGAAAGGATAAGCCATGACAGCATTATTCCGCGAGTCCCACGCAGCCACGAATATGTCATCCGCAGCTATGTGCACCAACGTGGCCCATTCTGACAAACGTGACATTGAACAGAAAAGCAAATGCAGCATGTTTCCACTTCTGTGATGTTCCAAACCAGGTAAAACCAAACAATATATGGGTGTTTATTTATTACATTATTCCTTACACTTCACAGATACCTTATAGAGACCCTTTTCATTGGCTGAATTACTTTGTAATAGGAATTTCCAACACCCATCAACACCTTTCCACCACTCTTCGCATAAATTCCAAACTCCTTTCCTGTGGCCTCAAGCCCCACCAGATTGGATTGGCTCCTGCCTTTCTCATATCTTCTCTCTTGGCTCACCAACCCTCAGTGCTTCTGTTCTGTTTTTTACCCACACCAAGCACGTTCTGCCACAGGGCCTTTGTACTTGCTGTTCCCCATGCCTGAAACACTTCCATCTGTCTCTTTGGTCTGGCTACTTCTTTTTTTAAATTAATTTTTCTTAAAGATTTTATTTATTTATTTGAGAGAGAGAGTGAGAGAGAGAGAGAGAGAGCACAAGAGGGAGGAGCGGGAGAGGGAGAAGCAGACTCCCTGCCGAGCAGGGAGCCCGATGCGGGACTCGATCCCGGGACTCCAGGATCATGACCTGAGTCGAAGGCAGTCGCTTAACCAACTGAGCCACCCAGGCGCCCTGGTCTGGCTACTTCTTTACTACTTCTGTCTCTCAGCTCAAATGCCACCTCCTCAGGGAGGATTTCCTTAACCATTCTATATAAAATGTCTCTCCATAACCCAGCTACTCTTAAGCCCCATGCTTGGTTCCTTGATGACATTTCTTCCCATGGATGGATGACATTACCTCACAATCTATAATAGTATTGTTTCGCTTTCTTGTTGGCTCCCTGTCTCCCCCAGTGGAGGATAAACTCCCCGAATGAAAGTTCTCGTTAGGGAACCTAACAGGTGCTTAATAACTATTGGTAGAATGAATATCTGGCAAGTTAAAAAGTTTGACCAATATCCCGTTTCAATTTGGGGAAATTCCTAGTCCACGGTTGGCACCGAGGGGGAGAGGATTAGTTTGAGCAACTTTCCGGAGTATCTGTAAACAAACGATTTGCCAGCAACATGGGAGAGGTGCCCAGGCTAGATGTGACTTCCATTCTGACCCAAGAAGGTGACTCTACCAACATGCCCTGGTGGAGGGTTTTTTTTTTTATATATATAGATTATTTATTTATTTGTCAGAATGAGAGAGAGCACAAGCAGGGGGAGCAGCAGGAGAGGGAGAAGCAGGCTCCCTGCTGAGCAAGGAGCTCAATATGGGTCTCGATCCCAGGACTCTGGGATCATGGCCTGAGCCGAAGGCAGGCGCTTGACTGACTGAGCCAGGCATCCCTCCATGGTGGAGTTTCAGGTTTCAGCGTTCCCTTGTGTTCCTAGGCAGAAGTCTGCAGGGGTGAGAGCCCGAGCCTCCCTCCTTTTGGGCAGCCTCTGTCTTCCCTCCCACCAGGCACCCTTGGCGAACCAGAGCCAGCAGGGATGTCCGGGGTGGGGGCGGATAGTCACAGCTCTGGACTTTAGAGCACTCCACCTGGTTGAGACCCGAGTGTGGCCATCCCGCACCTGGACTGGAGTCTCTATGAATCTAATGTGAAGACAATGCTTTGAATAAATTGAACAAAAGAAAGAAAGAAAGAAAAAAAAGAAACGGTGCTGTCCTTGCTGAGGCAGAGCAAAGGGTCCCAAGTGATAGCTAAGCCTTCCCTTGTCCCGTTCCCAGAATTTCTGAATCCCAGAAATTCTATGGGGATTTGGAAAGCAGGGATCTGATCTAGACCCCTGCGTGGACATCAAGCTTGCCCCCTGGCCCTGGAAGGCACAGTTCCAGGAGCGCCTGGCCCGGCCCGGCTGCCTTTCGTGGGGAGGGGAATCTCAGCGGTCCGAGGTGCCTGGCAGCTTGACCAGATCCCAGGACAAAGAGGCTCCTTGACCAGTCTCCCTGTGCCCCAACCTCTGCCTGCCAAGCTGCATAACTGGGAAAGGGATCCCCAGCTGCATTCCCAGGGAACCAGGCCACATTCCCATCACAAAGGAAGAACTCAGTGGGGGCCTCTGGGCCAAGTTTCAGCCCCTAGTCACTTTGGTCACCAAGTTCCGGTCCCAGGCAGTGGGGGACGGGAGGAGAAAGGCGCTGAGCCACCACCACCATGCTGCCCCAGTCCTGCCTGGGCATTTCAGGCCACCTCCCTACCAACCAAGGTCAAAGATGTCAGGTTCCCATTCTTTGAGAACAAGTTTTTGTAGCTTGAGCATTCAGGAAAAATGAAGTGCAGTGAGTGCAAATGAGTCATAAAGGTAGAGGGGAGGAGAGAGGGCTGCCTGGGCCCGAGAAAGCTGACGGGGGTAAAAGGAAAGAAGGGATGTGCAGGAATCTGCCAGGCAGAGCGGTAATTATAGGAATAGTAGTATAAGTACCAGCAGCATCCACCCTTCAAGGAATGATTAGCCCCACTATCTGTGAGTCTCAGAGAGGTTACGTAATTTGCCCTCGGTCACACAGCTCTAGGCAGCAGGCAAGATTCACAATCAAATCCCCACTGACTTTGCAGTGTACCTCCTCCTCTCGCACCACACCCCTCCCTGGGCAGGGCGGGCAGGCCAGCAGTGAGCACTGCACTTCATCCTCAGAGAGATTTCGTCACAAAAGCACTGGGGGTAACAGATGTGCCTTTGTGAAACTGGCTTTCTAGAGAGTTTGAGTCCAACAATTCCCGGGTTCCTATTGTGTGCCAGGGCTTTGGGAGACACACATCCATGCACAATCCTTCGAGAGCTATTATATTTGTTTTACAGATAAGGACACCGAGGTTCAGAGAGGTAAAGTAACTAATCCAAAGTTACACAGCTAGTACAAGGCAGGGATAAAGTATGTCTGATTCCAAAACCCATGCTTTTAATCACCAGCACTGCTAAAATGGGGCTTAACAGGAGGCTAGAGAGAGAGCAACAAATTAGCTTTGGAGCAGGTGGGGGAAGGAAGATAGAGCGGCAGCTGGGGGCGCCTGGGTGGCTCAGTCGGTTAAGCATCTGCCTTCGGCTCGGGGCTGCTTCTCCGTCTCCCTCTGCCCTTCCCCCCCTGCTTGTGTGCCCTCTCTCTCTCTCTCTCTCAAATAAATAAAACCTTAAAAAAAAAAAAAAGCAGCCGCTTTGCAAGGCCTTAAGGTGTATGTACATTTACCATGGGTGGAGTTTGGGGGT